CCATTCAAATGAAAATGGGCTTCATCGCTCATGATCAGAGAATACATAAATTAATTCTCTTCTCGAGCCATTCTTTTCAAGCGAACTGCATAAGCTAGTGGTTTTTGGAAATCTCCTGGTTTTAGTTCTTGCACAAGCTGCACTTTATATGGAAACAGATGTAAATTTCCTCTTAATATTCTGCGTAAAGACCTTCGAGACATCTGCAGCTCAGCAGAACGTCTTCGGGTTGAGGTTTCCGGATTCTCCTGAGCGCTCTCCTGAACGCGTTGAATGCTCTCTTCATTTCTTGCGAAACGTGGGAGATCCATAACTGTGCCTTGTTGCTGAAATCGTGCCACTAACCGTCGAATCATTGATTCAGAGGGCGAATTCCGCAAATTGAAATGACGACGATATGCTCGTTAAGTTTGAATTATTGAATGATGATATTCAAAATAAAATTCTATAAGTTTGGTTCGTTGATTAAGGTTGTAACGCTCCATAATTAATCTCCCGGATTTATTTTTCACAGTCCTGGGAAAAAAAGAAAACAAAGTAAATTTAAAAAAGTTATTAACTTTTCAAATCCCTTCGCGACTTTTGCCTCACCCTGTATAAACTTGTTTTGATATCTTGTCATTTATGTCAGAATGGAGCGACTTTCTGACTAGGATACTTCACCCAAGTGTTCCTCTCCGGAAGGTTACAAAGTTGCTCAGAAACGGAAAGCCAGAACAACTCCCGCACATCCACGGTCCTGAGAACATTGTCTTTAGGACAGAGGAAGAGGTCGAGGTTTGCGCTGATGCACTGCAAAGTCAGTTCTCTCCTAACCATGATCTTGATTATGACCTCGACGAGGAGCAACGCATCATCAGGTCCGTCAGGAGTTATTTTAGGGCCAACGGCGTCAGTGGTAGTGATAATTCGTCAGGAGATTCTTCTCAAAGATTGCATTGCACATCAGTGGAATCTCCCGAGATCCCGCATTGTACATCAGCACAGCTTCAAGGTCATATTAAGGTCCTCAAAGCACCCGAGGACCGAGATCACCGTGTGATTCCTGACGTGAAATTTGGCTTTTGGTCTGAGGCGACTAGGCATGTGGAGCGAGTAACCAGGGGCGTCACACTTAACGGAAGTACATGCATCTTGCTTCTGGATGACTAAAAGGCATTTGACAAGGCGTGGCACAAGGACCTCTTCTATAAATTGATACAAAGGGTTTACCATTCTGGCTTCTAAAACTTTTGAAGTCCTTCCTTGAAGGTAGGAAATTTCGGATCACAATTAATAATGTTCAGAGCACGTGTTTCTCCGGGTTCTGTTCTTGGACCAATCCTTTATCCGCTTTTTACTCATGACATCCCTTGCCCCAGGAACTGTGAAATTTATCTCTATGCTGATGACACTGCCCTGGTGGCCCAGTCGTGTTCTAGAAATCCAGTTCACGACAGGCTGCAAAGTGCGGTTGACGAGGTATTATTATGGGCGAATCGGTGGCTGATCAAAATTAATCGCAGGCTATCTATTGTACTAAAAGATGTAGCGATGCCCCATCTGAGGTTTCAGTGAATGGAGCTCGGGTACCATGGGAAAGTTCTTCTAAGTATCTCAGTATTACTATTGACAAGGCGATGACCTGGCAGAAGCATTAAAAAGTTAATTCCAAATCACGTTTCAGCAACTACACGTTACGCTATGTAGAACCTTAAGATGAAGTCCGGCTATACAAGACGGTTATTAGACCAGCAATCACATACGCGTGTGCGTCTTGGTGTTTTCTCGCCAAATCGCATTTGCATTGTCTGCACGTTTTGTAAAATAGAACATTGCTCACAATCACTAACGCCCATGATATGTTTCCAATCAGATCTTTCACAGAGTCCTGGAAATCCTTCACGTAAGGGACTATATCAAACAACAAACACAGCTACGTTAGAGTCAAGCAGAATCGCAAAGCAGCCCCTTGTTCGTGTACACACAAGACCGCGGCTTTCACTGTGAACTTGTGCACTTTGGGTCCAACCAATCCAACATCAACCAATCTCTAAATTAATTCTAGGATCAATTTGAAATTCGCGAATACTAGTTACCAATGCCAAGGTACCCCTCAAACTGACACACTTCCTCCTCTTTGCTCCTCCATCTGCCTTCTTTACTCTCTTCTTCTTGTTTCTCCCTGACAGATCTACTGGCTCACGATACTTTAACCAAGAGCAAAAGTGCTACAGACCGCTCTAACAAGATAAGTTTCAGATGTAACTCTATGGATGTCAGGAACGTGGAATTCATCTATGGAGGTACTAAATCCAAATACTGAATTCACACATTTCTGGAAAAAGGCCCTTCTACAGCTCTGCTGCCTTATCTAGCTTATCTTACAATTTTACTTACAAAAACGTCCCACACCGACTTTTTCAGTCTTTAAGGTATTTTCTTAATTGCTACGGAAAGTAAAGTGATTCTAGATTGTTTTTTTATGTTAATAATTAGGTAATTATATCAGTACACCTTTAGCTTCCTCTCCACGTACTTCTCGACTCTATCATGGAATTTCCTGCTATGCTGTTATATTATTTTTAACTAAAAAATCTGGCGAGCTTGAAAAAGTATCTACAAAGCAGAGTTTCTTTTTTCAGATTATCAGGAGCAAACATTGATGTTATTTCTGCTCTCTCAACCCCCCTTTGCTGCGTGGCAGCTACGTTATTTATCTGTTTTTATTGTCTTTATACTTCAAATGGAAAACAACCATGTATGATTATTCCTATTAGACCGTGCGGTGAAACGAAAATAAAAGTTAACCTTTATAGGATAAAAAAGCACAGGGGAAAATAATAATGACATCGTTTCAATCTGGTCAAAGGCTTGAACAAGTGATGCTACTGTATGAATTGAAGACGCAGCAACACAAAGCTTTGGATATTGTTTTTCACTTTGAGGCAAAGTAAAAAAGCACCAGTATATATAGTATATTATGTTGAGAATTGTAATACTACGTAGGAATATCCAACTGGCTGCAAAGGACAGAAAACTCCATTCTGAAAACAGCCTTCTTGCAGATACTATGGGCATTTATTTTGCACTGTCATTTCATGTCGGTTAAACTACTGCTATGTTTTTTTAAGTAAAAGCTTCGGTGGAGTAGTTTTTTTGAGTGCTTTACTAATTTTCTCAGTGTAGTGGGGTGCCTTTGACGGCAATCGGTCATACTGAATCTTGAATCTATTTTTTTATTAGGTCTCTGGTCGGTTTTTTTTTGGGGATTTTTTTTCAATTCTGCCGTTTTGATCGAGATTCGCACGTAAATTGTGGAGATGGTTGTTCGATTTAAAATTTCTTTGGAACAGTTTTTATGAAGTACACATAAGTCTATATGTCCTTTAGGAATTTCCAACTTATCATCGGTTGAATGTGCCGCTATATTGTTAGTTTCATTTGAATGGAGCTTTACAGAATTGTAATTAGAGAGATGGAGCTCATAATTATATAGCGTCTTTCATACTATAACAGTAATAATTTAATATTTTTACACCATGATGATAAATCAAGATATCGACCACAGTACCAACAGTTTGAAAAATTTCATTATTAGCTGAATCACAAAGGACGATTTCTTGTGTATAAAGGGGTCGTAAGTAAAGTTTTATAGTCAAGCAAGTTAGTATTAGACGACCAGTGTGTACATCAGACTTACGTATAAGACTGTCCTTACAAACAAGTGTCAACACACAATAAAATATTCCATCAATATGGATTAAGGATTTTGATATCCCTGAACTACTACTAGAAATGCAGACTTGCTAAACTATGTTTTTTTTATATGGAATCCTTCCTAGGCCACTCATTCGTATCGAATTCAAAGAATGTAGAATAGGTTTTTAAAATCGCACCACATTCAAATGTGGCACTCTTATCGCTGATAGTAATTATGGTTCAACCATGAAGAGATTTAATCTGTTATCACTGTTCAATAGAAGAATATTTTCTGATATTTGTTGTATATACAATAATAACCTTTATGACTGTAATAATCTGCTTTCCCTCAATATAATGTTCTAGATAGAAATATCGTCATTATAACATGTTTAAGTTACCTTGCTGTCGTACTAACTTGGGTATAACTACTCCATTAGTAAGAGCACAAAGATCCTACAATCAGCTTTATGAAGAGGACTTGTTTTGTGATAACATCACTGTCTTTAAGGCGGCTCCGACGCAGTGAGTTTCATTTACAAGGGTTCAGCTGCTTCGAAACTCACACTCCATTTTTCAAAATTTTTTAATGAAATGTATACAGTATGTTCAGAAGATAATTCCCAAGGGTGCTATGGGAGCACTTTTTGAAATTTTGTTTTTGCACAAGTTTTATGATGGGTTGAAGTGCGCACTTTTTCTGTTCAACTTCGCGATTTTTTTAAAAAGAATCTAGTGAAAAAAATGAAAAAGTGGTTCTATATCACCTTGTGGGGTTTTGTTTTCAGCACACGTTGAAAATTTTTTTCAAACGTATCAAAAAATAAAGCGTCAATTTTGAAGCGCGCAAACCTCTACAAATCGTATTTTGGACGAATTTTGTCTACTGTTTCGTGCTGCCAACCCAAGCGTTGCGGCGCAATGTACGGACTAAGAAAGGACGTATTCCGGATAATTTGGTGGCCCTATTTCATATAATATCGCACAGATAAGTCGTTCTGCAAATAGGTACTCTTAATCGCGATCGCTGATACTCCTCGATTTTAAAGCCGTTTTACTTCCCATGCCAGTGGCGAGGAAGTATTGTAATCGCGAAAAATTTCTAAACTGAGAGAACTCGTATTATCTCAATATCTCATACTTTTGTACGCATTACCCACATTTTATTGTAGCATTGTGAGTGGGTGTTGGCTTTGGATGAGAACATTCCAAATTGTAATAAATAAATAAATAAGGGTACAGCGACTGTCCAGAAAGGTGGTTGAAGGTGTAGTGGTTGACGAAGAAGGTATGTACAAATGCAACGGAAATATATTTTCCAGTTTATTAACATCAAATCAAATACAAAAATATATTTCTTACATGCCTCTGTCCGGATTCAACATAGCATCCTCAACTTTAGCCTTCTGAGAGCAAAGTCATAGTTCTCAAAAACATGCTGTAAGATACCATTGTCTTCAATGCCTGCAAAATATTTACCTTCGAACATATATATACAGGGTTACTGTTAATTCGTAGTATTTCTTGACAAGGTAAGGGACCTAAGACATAACCACAGCCGACGTCAACTACGAGCCGTGAACAAAGAAATCTGGCAACGTAGGTGGTAGTGTTACTCCCGCCGCAGCTTGCTGCATCGACGCAACTCGTGCTTAAAATGCTGAGAAAACATAACCTTTTCAATTTGTGATTTTGGAATTCCAGAGGCTGTAATTAAGAGATAAGCTTGTTTTCTAAGCTTCAAAGTGTGTGTATGTGTTCAAAGTGATCGGTGACTATAATATATGAGAAATAGACTCCAGTTGTAGTGCTTCTGTGCTTTCAAAATAAACTAAGAAGTGTGACTGTGGCTGTTCGCGCCTCAGGACGCTAAGGATTTCAACTATTGAAAACGTGCAAATTCAGGTTGTATTTTTCTTTTTTCATTTATCAAGTATTTGACGCAGACAATATGCCTCGTTGTTGCTGTGTTCCTTTATGCAATGCAAACTATAATTCTGCTTTGAAAATAGAAAGCTATGTTTCAACTTTTCCCTTCCCAAGTACTGAAAGTCTGAAACACAAATGGCTTATGGCAATTCCCAGAAAAAATTGGACACCTTCAAAATATTCAGCTGTATGCAGTCGTCATTTTAGAGAATCGGATATCATAAGGACAGAAAATATAGTTTTGGCGGATGGAACAGTCCAAAATAATATACCTTTGAAATATCCAAAATTGAAAGAAAATGCTGTTCCCTCCATTTTCCCAAACTTGCCATCGTATCTTTCAAAAACTGAAGCACCCAAAAGAACTGACCCAATGCAAAGAAAACAAAAATTAATTGAGAAACATGAAAAAGCTATCCAGAATTTCGATGATATGGATAAGATCAAAGATAAATTTAGTTCAAAAATGTGGATTTGAAGTTATTTGTGTTGTTACTGATAATCACCGAATTAATAGAGCAATGTTCAGGAAATTAGCAAAGGATTCATCAGAAAATTATTCTATTCCAAATCCACATAATCCTGATAAGAACATATATTTAACTTATGATGTTGTGCATATTTTCAAGAGTATCAGAAATAATTGGATTAATTTAAAAAACCTAGACAAAACTTTTGTATATCCTAATTTTGACAATAATGATATTATTCAGTATGCTAAATTTGAAAACATTCGTGCTGTATATCAATTGGAAAAAGAAGCTGTAGTTAAGAAAGCATATAAATTAAATTATAAAACATTGCATCCAAATTCATTTGAAAGGCAAAATGTAAATTTTGTAAATAATTTATTCCATCACTCAACAATAGCTGCTATGAAAGAATTAAAGTTTAATGATGCTGCACACTTTTTGGAAATAATCAGGAATTGGTGGGATATTGTCAGTAATACAAGTGTAATAAAAGGAGAATTGAAGCGAAACGAATTTTGTAAGCCTATTACCAATAAATATGATTATAGAGTACAATTTTTAAAAAAATTCCTGATATGGTTTGAAAAATGGCATAATCTAGAGAATAATAATGGACACCTGACACCAGAAACGTATACAGCTCTATATCAAAGCACGCTGACTCTACTCAATATAATTGAATATTCATTTAATCAATTTGACATTGAGTATGTATTGCCTGGAAAATTCACCACTGATAATTTAGAAAAACGATTTGGCAATTATAGACTTTTATTAAAATGTGTCATATGATGAAATTTTAAATGCTGAAAAGAAAATACGGCTGAAGCATATTTTCAATGAAAAGAAATCGTCATTTTCTTTAGCAGAAATTAAAACAAGGTTCCAAAACTGCTTAGAAACTCAAGAAAATTTTGATTTCTTGGATACCAAACAAAATCCTGAAGTTTTGGATATATTCAATGAAGTATTTGAGACAAATTACTTAGCCTTAGACTTATATATCTGGATATGCTTCACACGCTATCTCTAAAAACCTAAACTGCGAGATATGCAAATCGCTAATAGTTAAAGAAAAAGGTTCATTAACAACAAATGTATGCCATTTTTGAATCTATTATTAATGTAGATAGATTGGAAATTTTCTTCTTGAAAAGCAATAATCAAAAATTTATTTTGTGTCAGTTAATCTTGCTCAGCATTCAGTCTCACTTTATATACAGTGAATTTTCTTTAACTTGCATCTGTGGCCGCAATTATGCAGATATTTTATCTAAGCTTTTGTCTATTTTTTCAAACATAATTTTGAATGATTATGTAAAATTGAAAAATAACAGTAAAACTGAAAGTAAATGTATTAAAAACAAACAGGTAACTCCACATTTCCAAGCTGGGCCTGTTGGAACACAGTGTGCTGACAAAAAAAAACGTAAACTAAATACTTTTAATTAGGTTAACTGCATTAGCGACTCATATATATCACGATTATTTCGAATTTTTAAATTTTTTAGAGTTATTTCATATTCAGACGATTTGTATCGAATCGAACTGTCCTCTTTTCCTAAATTAAATTTAGTTCTTGAACCTTACACGGAGACGGAGCACACAGCCGCTGGCGGCCGACGTTCACAGGTAGCACTACCATGCCGTCCGAGCCTTTCTTTCATCACGGCTCGTAGTTGACGTCGGCTGTGACAACTAATCTTACCCCATATCGTATGGGGGTTCTACAATCGCCAGATAGTTAGGCTTTCCTCATACAGGTGTAAATTGCTTAAATACATTACCGCGACTGCAGTTCTTAGGTCCAATTCAACCATTCCTCCTACATTCAATGTTATTGGTACTTGACATTTGCCAAGAAACGTCAACACATCTTTGGAATGTTTCTGATATCTGTACCAGTTTGTGCAGTACAAGATATCGGGAAGTTCTTTGCTCTAAAACATGCACATTCTGTAGTTGCAAGATTGTAGAAAGGATTACGGTTCATAATTGCAAAAAAAATGGCATACGACATACGCCATAATAGTACGGAGTGTAACACATATACTGGGTGTGTTTTTAGAGTGGGCTCGGTCGATAACTTGAATATGTAATAAAAATAATTGTTAAGTCTGGTTTTATTGGTGCACGTTGTTCAAGGGGGTATTGAAAACATGGACGCACAAAATGGGTACACCACTTTTTGTGGGAAAACTTTTTATTCGACAACAAAGATTGAGAAAGCGCGTTTTTTGAGATTCAATCGAAAGCGTTGGCAGGAACAAAAAACTCTTCGTTGCCGGTTCATTTGCAAGTTTATAGTCGACATCGCTCGCTTAGCAGATTAACAAATTGAAGATGTCAGTTGAGGGCAATGCAAAATCCCGATCCAGGAGAGCCGGCTTAAAATTTTCCGTATCCGCAGGTTATTGCGAATAGGGAATTATGCTGCACGCGTCGGTGCCGGAACTGCCGTATATCCTGCAGCCATTATGGAATACTTGGCCGCTGAAGTTTTGGAATTGGCAGGCAACGCTGCTCGCGACAATAAAAAGACCCGCATTACTCCACGTCATCTGCAATTCGCCATCAGAAACGACGAAGAATCGAACAAACTGCTGCCAGGCGGCACAATCACTCAAATAGTTCTTCCTAATATCCAAGCTGTCCTTCTGCCGAAAAAGGCGGAGAAGACAGCTTGAAAAAAAACTTCTGAACAAACAAACGGCAAAAACAGCCGTCGGCATAGGTAAATATCCACAAGTACTTGAAATCTCATTTTCGTAGCTTCTTCGGTATTACTTTTTCGATTATATTATAGAAACTTCCATGCGTCTAATCTACTAACTCACCTGTGTCATCAATTCCTGGGCAGGGAAACAATAGCAGATAAAAAACTCAAAAAACATCAATGCCGAATATATAACTGCCCTCATAATTTCTTCAATGGTGTCTCTAAAAAACATATCGGTTCACTTATACCTCCAGCTTGATTTATGTTTAATTACATGCTGTACAATGCTCCGTTTCTCATATGTATGTTTTCTGACTTGTTACAAAATAGTCGGCTGTTGTACGTTTTTATTATTCACATTTGGAAAAGAATGAAGATAATGAATGGAACTTTCTGTTTACCTGTTCGTATATACAGGGAAGGTTGGGAAATCTCGAAACTGGAGATACTACAGACCAAAATATGTGAATTGACCTAAACATACCTTGGTCCAAAACTTGATAGTTTGCAAAATACAGGGTGTCAAAGTTACAACTTTATTTTCTATTTTTCCTTATTGTTTGAGAAGTGTTCCAGGCATAGGAAGGTTTTCTAGTAAGGTAAACAAGAATCCGTTGTTTTTTTATGGCCAAAATCCTATCTCGGCAAATAACTTATAATAACCTTTTTGTTCTACCCTGTATACAACAACTGATCTGAAAATCTTATTTTCTCGTATTTCCGTAACAAAAAAGGTTCACTTGTTAGGAGTGTCTGAAGCTAATAGTTTTCGAGATATTCATTTTTAGGTTCCAATGCATTATTTGTACCATGATGATAAAACATTTCTATAACATAATAATCAAGTTGCTTTGGATAATATAATAATAATAAATGCCTTTATTTCCAAACAGTTCTCAAAAAAAAATCAGAAAGAGAAACATGGCATTTAACCAAAAAAAGAAAATAAAAAAAATAAATAAAACAAATGTCGACTGTATGAAAACCACAAGGGGGAGTTCACTTTCTAGTGCTCTTCCTCTCATCCCTTGAAATTGTAAGAAACATTACGCCAGTAAATACATCCATCAAGCATATACAAACATCAATATGAACAGCATGTAAGTTTTTTAAAAATAAGATAGAAAAGTGAAAAATGTGGTAATAAATTAAAAAAAAAGAAAGTCTAGAATAATATATAGATATACCCATTCATATTGCATAAACAAACGCCAATATGAGCGACAGTTAAGTTTGAAAAAAAAGAGCAAAGAGAAAATGTGGTGGTAAATTTAAAAGTCTAGAATGATATATAAATATATATACGTACATTATGCATCATATGAAAAAAGAAAATATAAATAAAATAATAGAATGCAAACAAAATAAAATTGAAATTCCGCAGTAAGAATAATTCTACTTTATACATTCAAGAATCACGCAAAACCGCTTTGAACTTGTGAATTTCATATGATCTGAGGTACTGGGGGATAGGATTGTATAGCTTATATATATTATACGTAAATGATCTTTCATAAAATTTAGTTCTGTGGAATGGAGCGTTAATGTTTTGTTTCGAACGAATATTTACGGAATGGATGTCTTTTCTGAATGTTATTTTTTCGTAGAGGTAATGAGGCTGCCTGAGAGTTAAAATTTTATGATAAAAGCATATTGTGAATATCTCAAAACGATCCTTCATATTTAGCCACCGGAGTTCTTTCAGCTTATGACTAACTCTTTCAAATTTTCTTATGCCATATATAAAACGTATGCATGAGTTCTGTGTTCTCTGTATTCGCATGAATGTATCACAATCTAAACATGCAGAATAAATTGGAACACAGTACGAAAACTGTGATAAAACCAAGGTTTCGCAAAGAATTCTTTTGATGTCTAAATTGAGAAAATTTCGGTGAGGATACAATAATTTTAGAGCCAGATAAGATTTTTTGATACAGTTTGATATGTGCTCACGAAACCTCAGATTATAATCCATTGTTAAGCCTAAGTTTTTAACTTTATCACAGTATTTTAATCTAATAATATTTATGGTTATATTTAAATTCTCAATCACATAAGACCGGTCTTTACCAAAGATCACAGCAGCTGATTTATTTGGATTTAATATTAATGAATGCTCTTGCAATCTTTTAGAGAGGTTAGTCAAGTCACTGTTTATTTTCAACTGGCCAATCTGAACTAGGAAAAGAATAGTACAGCTGGGTATCATCCGCATAAACGTATGACTTACATAATTCCAAACATTTAACGATCTGACTAGTATATATAGTGAAGAGCAATGGTCCAAGTATAGATCCTTGCGGTACACCTGTGGTAGTGGGCTTTGAACTAGATATTTCATTCTTCAGTTGTACACACTGTGATCTGCCACTTAAGTATGAATTAAAAAGTTTTACGCTGTCAGTAGACAATCTCTGAGTAACGTTGCTATGGTTTTTAACAATAACAAATGAGGATGGCAATAAAACTAACAAACTTAAATAATAACTACAAAAAATGTTCAAAATGAGCACCACCTCGCCTAACACACTCTCGAGCTCGACGAACTAACCCTTGTAGCACTCTCCAAAGCATTCGGATGTTACTTATCATTTCCTGGCTATGGTGGAAAATTCTTTGTCGAAGATCACCTACAGTTTTCACTGTCGTATTGTAAACGCATCGTTTTAAATCATAACAGCAGAAGAAATCCATAGGATTTAAATCTGGTGATCTAGCCGGCCACGATACAGGTCTTGATCCGTCTTGAACCACATATTCATGCGTGGTTGTAATGGAAGATCTTCCAGCAGAGTGGGTAATTGTTCTTCAAGAAATTGTAAATACCATTGGCCATTTAGTCTAGGTGGTAACTCAACGGATGCTATTAAATATTGTCCAATTATTCCTGCTCATAAATTAATTTGAAATTGTACTTGGTGGCTGGTTTATATTATTGCATGAGGATTTTTGTCTGTATAAATGTGAGTTAATCCTGCTTCGTCCGAAAATAATATTATCGAAGTAAAACCATTGTCGTGATTAAATTTCCTTAAGATCCATGTACAAAGTTCTACCCTTGCGGGGTCATCGTCCTCGCTTAAACCATGTACTTTTTACAGGTGGTATGAATTGAGCAGTTGCTCTTCAACAATGGTGTTTACTGTACATTTGGAAACTTGAAATTCTCAAGCTACATTCCTAACCCCAACTGTAGGATTCTCAAAGACAGCACCTAAAACATTTTCTTCAACTTCAGCTGTACGTACACATATTTTGAGCAAAACTACCCAAAATCCAAATGGCTTTTACCACTCAAAATAAGCCTATAATCTTTTCTTACCAGTTTCTCGTAACCGCTGATCGATTCGTTGGAAAGTCTTTGAATTAGGCAGGTGTCTATTAGGGAATCTGTCAGCTTTTAAAGTATTGGATACATTTTGCCAATCCGTACATTAAATGCATATCAGAATATTCATCAAACGTGACGATGTTTAACAACTTATTGTCAACTTAAAATTATTCATGCAGTTTAAAACAATATTTTAACAAACATTGAAACGCTACTCAGATATCCAAATCAGCTTGATTATTATATTATAAAAATGTTTTATCATCATGGAACAAATAATGCACTGGAACATTTAAAAACAAATATCTCGAAAACTATCAGCTTTAGACACTTTTAACAAGTAAACCTTTTTTTATTATAAATAAGAGAAAACAAGATCACTTGTTGTATACAGGATAGCACAAAAAAGTTATGATAAGTTATTTACCGTAAATGGCGCCCTCTAGAAGTTTGGCCATAAAAAATAACGGATTCTTGTTTGTCATTGTAGAAGACCTCTCTATACCGAGTTTCATGCCAAAATCTGAAATACTTCTCAAGCAATAAGGAAAAATAGAAAATAAAATTGTAACTTTGACACCCCCCCGTATCTCGCCTACTATCAACTTTTGGACTGAGGTATGCTTAGGTCAATTCACATGTTTTCTTCTGTAGTACATATCTCCAGTTTCGAGATTTTCCAACCTTTCGCAGACATCCTGTATAAATAGAGTACTTACGCTAAAAATATAAGATACATTTCCATGCACAGGATGAGAACTATAACTACCATATAAACCAACATCATAGAAGAAAACGTATCGTTGATATTATTTCTGAAACTGAGACACATGAACATAAGGATTTATATCATGTAACGTATGCCCTAAAAGTTTTGGCACAAGATTTATTGTCTTTGATTTTAACAAACACAAAATAATATTAAGTCGCCTTTGGAAACAAAAGTTTGTTTGCCTACTTTACTGTCAGTTGACATTTATTTATTTTAAAGTTTTAGCTTTAAGATTCCGTATAAATTAGAAATAAGAAAAAGTATCTGCAAGTTGGTTGGGCGAGTACCCAAATGTGAAATCTTTTAATTCAACTTTGCTAAAATCACTCCATATATACAGGGTGGCGCATCGAAAATGAAACAGACGCATTAACTAGCAGCTCAGTTTTTTTTTGAAATACGCTCAGACCCGTCTATTTTGTTTTCGAGGGGGACACAAGTTTGGCAAAAAATCACGTTAACACGTGCAGCCCCCTGGGCAGGGGTGACACCAACCCTAAAATCTTAAATGGAAAGGGGGGTCGAGTGATACCTTATTGTAAAGGTCTTTCAATTCCCTTTATAATGATGTAAAATACATGAGCTTCAGTTCAGTAGTTTTGAAGATTTATTGATTTAAAGCTTAAAGTAGACTTTAATAGGTACATCAGATTAGTTTGTACTACTTTCAGAAGAAATTTGACTACAAGAATTAACTAAATAAGTAAATGCTTTTCTTCACTATGCGCGTGGTTTGTTTATCATTCTGTTGTTGAAAATAGCTATTGGAGCGTTTTTTTTTGCAAAAAGTTTTTTCTTGAAGAAAGGTAAGGAAATATCTCGTACTTATTTTAAATAGGAATTTAGTACATAGTTTGCGATTGATTTGACCAAACTTTGTTGCTAAAATAACTTGTAACGCTTTATTACATAAATTAACCATGGTATATTCCACAGCAGAAAAAGTTGAAATTATCGAAATATTTTTCGGAAATAATCAGTGCGCTAATAGAACAGCAGAAATATGTAATGAGCGACATGAGAACAGTAACGTGCATCGAAAATATGTTCTAGAACTTGTAGCTAAATTTCGGGAAACTGGGTCAGTCGCCAATAAAAAGCGGAACACTGAAAATCCCATAAGGAACGAAGCAATAGAAGTGGGGGTTTTAGGGCAAAATTATGTAGATTCTACTTCAAGTACCCGCAAGTTGGAGACTGTGTGTGGTGTTAGTCGACGTACTGTCCAACGGATTATAAAGACCTATAGCTTTCATCCGTATAAAATTCACCTGGAGCAAGAACACAATGAAGACGATTTTAATCGGCGATTACAATTTTGTGAAGATGTGAGTGAACGAATTATAAACGATGAACAGTTTCTATTCAACACTTGCTTTTCCGACGAATGTTCCTTTTTTTTAAACGGCGTAGTAAATCGTCATAACTGCCGATATTGGTCCGATTCTAATCCCAGAATTTATCATGAGGTTCATACACAGCAGCCACAAAAATTAAATGTTTGGCGATCATTTAGTTGGTCCTTTTTTCTTACCTGGAAATTTGACCGGTGAAATGTATTTCTAATTACTGGAAGACGCCATAGATCCTGCATTAACAGCCATAATTGAAAATCAGAATGGTACGGTACATTGCGAAAAGGTTGATGTTCCAACAGGACGGTGCCCCACCACATTACGCATTACGTGTTCGACAATATTTAGATCAGACGTTTCCAGATCGATGGATTGGTAGAAGAGGTGCCATTGAGTGGCCCCCAAGATCGCCAGATTCATCACCTTTGGATTTATTTGTGTGGGGTCATTTAAAAAGCAAAATCTATGCTAGTCAGCCAACATCATTAGAAGATCTGCGACAAAGAATTGTGAATGAGTGCCTTCAAATTACTCCTCAAATATTGCAAAATGTGCGGCAACGGTTTGACCAAAATTTTTATTATTGCATGGAGACCATGACTCTCCATGTCCATTTTTCATTTTTAAATTACTTTGCTGCCAAATGTATTGATCTCTACTAATGATGATCTATTAGTTTTATTTATTTTAAATCTTCAAAACTACTGAACTGAAGTACATTAATTTTATATTATAAAGGGAATTGAAAAACCTTTAAAATGAGGTATCACTCGATCCCCCTTTCCATTTAAGATTTTGGGGGTGGTGTCACTCCCGCTTAGGGGGCTGCACGTACTAACGGGATTTTTTGCTAAACAAAATCGACGGCTCTGAGCGTTTTTCAAGAAAAAAACTGAGCTGCCAGTAAATGCGTCTGTTTCGTTTTCGATGCGCCACCCTGTATATGCGCTGGGGATTTCAAATTCGGAAACAGTAAGCAATACAATACAAAGTCGCTTATAAAGTCAGCGATGCGCATTTAGGTAACTAAAAAAATTTTACTTAGATAGTTTGGCAATTCAGCGTATTTTTGGGGAGACACACGAATTGACCCCATTTTCTACTGGCTTAATTTGAGCTGAGATTTCGATATAAATTGCTTTAACAGTGGCACTTGTTACAAGCCTTGTACACGTAACTGTTAGTATATGAGTTGGTTAGTATGCATGTGTGAGACAAATCCTGAAACTGAATTTTGAATGAATTAACCTTAACCAATTGTGCTGTCTGGTTCGCGTGACAATACATAATGAATTAACTGACGCCATTTTGAATCTAATATGGCATTATGCTACATAATGGCGATTTATCAGCTCCATACTATATGATATGGGTATCAAATGAAAGAGCTCGCTGAGAGAAACACAATAAGCCAACTGACGTCATTCGGCAGTAAGCATCATAGCTACCTAATCGGGATAGTCTTCAAATCTCGCTCTCTTCATTTATTTGCTCATTAACGTAGTATAGGGTGATTTTTTTGCTAGTATCTTTTTGGCAACACTGTTTTTGACAGATGACGCGTGAATCGTGTCTTATGTAATTGTCAAACTTGTTCAGTTTGGTCTATAACTTAACCATGAATCGACTTACGGACGAACAACGCTTGCAAATTATTGAATTTTACTATCAAAATTCATGCTCGGTTAAGAGAGTGCATCGAGCACTGCTTCCAATTTATGGGCAATTTGGTCGGCCTACTGAGGGAGCTATTCGGAAGCTTGTGACTAAATTTCGAACCCAGTTTACATTATTGGACATTAAACCACCAACACGCAGACGTAGAGTGAGGACTGAAGAAAATATTGCGGCTGTATCCGCCAGTGTTAGTGATGACCGTGAAATGTCGATTCGCCGCCGTTCGCAGCAATAATTGGGCCTCTGTTACTCCACTACGTGGAAAATTTTGCGACAGGATTTGGGTGTAAAACCTTATAATATACAGCTGGTGCAAGAATTGAAGCCACACGACCTCCCACAATGTTTCCCATTTGGTGAATGGGCGCTGGCAAAGTTGGAGGAAGATCCACATTTTTATCGAAAAATTGTGTTCCGCGACGAAGCTCATTTCTGCTTGAATGGGTACGTTAACAAGCAAAATTGCCGCATCTGGAGTGAATACCAGCCAGAAGCATTGCAAGAGCTACCAATGCATGCGAAAAAATCACTGTTTGGTGTGGATTATGGGCCGGTGGCATCATAGGGCCGTATTTCTTCAAAGACGACAATGGCCGGAACGTAACTGTGAATGGCGAGTGCTACCGTGCGATGATAACAAACTTTTTTTGCCCAAAATGGAAGAGCTGGAGCCATATGCCACACCGCACACGAAACAATGGCCCTATTGAGAGGCGAGTTCGGTGAACAGTTTATCTCACGTTTGGGGCCCGTCAATTGGCCGCCTAGATCGTGTGATTTAACGCCGTTGGACTATTTCTTCTGGGGCCATGTTAAGGCGAATGTCTACCGGGGTAAACTAGCAACGATTGACGCACTGGAAGCCAATATTGAAGCATTTATTCGTGAGATACCGGCCGATATGTTGAAGAGAGTGTGCCAAAATTGGACCTTGCGCATGGGCCATCTAAAGCGGAGCCGCGGCCAACATTTACATGAAATAATCTTTAAACATTAAATTATATCGACCGTTCTATCGACTCAAATAAGGATTTAATCCTTTTTTCAAATTTTTTGTGTTTTTTTTAAAATCAAATCCTATACCTCTTAAAAAATCCTCCGTTACTACTTCATATTTTTGACACTTCTTATTTGCAACTTAGCATGATGTCATTATCTTAGCTTATTCATGTACAGGTTTATCCTAAACATGGAGAAAGAATTCATTGGCTTTTCTTAAATATTTTTCACATATCGTCACTTAAGTTTTAACATCGCGTGACTCAAAAAATGGCGATAGAGGATACAAAGATACTCCTCTCCCCACCGAGACGAATATCTTTCTGTGACATCCCCCCCCCCCTTACACAAATGCTGAATCCGCCCTTGATACCAGTAGACAGCAACAGGTATATGTACACAGAGAAACCTGACAATTTAAAGTATGATTTTACATTTACTGATGGGCCTCAACATATCTACACACACCTGAATTGATTTGTCAAGAAAAAATATCACAGGATGATCAGTATTCATACCTCAGTATCAATGTGTGGTGCTCATTACACTTTCTCATTTGTTCTCCAAAATCTGAATCACTTCCTGCGCCGTCCTCGAAGATCTTTTTGATCTCAAGCTTGAGCATCTTGATCTGTATAATGGTTAGAGATACAACAGTGAAGATAAGTATATCCATGGATGTTTCCAGTGTTATCAGCCCAAGTACGTGTATGTGTTCCCAAACGAAAATCCCTGAAGGAGAAAAGCACATCACCTTATTCCAATGCTTGTATTAAACATGTTTGAGTACGTTAACTCGGGTCAACTGTGCTCCAGGAACTTATATGCTTAAGGAATTTAAGGATAAATCATTGCGAACTTATACAGGTTCAAAAAAGAAAGTCCTGCGGTGGGGGACTGGCCACAGCTGAAATCGGAATTTTTATCGATGGACAAATCATATGAAAGCAACTTCGACATCAGGGTTATATATTTTAATAGAGAAAAAAGGATTCAGAAAAACATATCATTCTGTAAGCCTTTATAAGGCTTCCTTAAAGCTGCACCCCTGTAACAGAACCGTATTCTGGTTAATATTTATTTTGTATCAAAGGCGCACCTCCACCAAAATACTAACATCTATAATATTGATGTCGAAGTTACTCTCATATTTGATCCACAATTCTGTCTTCGGATGTGTGCTCAACGAGGAAAATATAGTGGCAACTCCAACACGGACCGCTCTTTGTGGTCCTGTGTCATTATTGGAGAATAAAGTTTAGAGTTGAAAAAAATATACAGAATGTCCCAGAGAAGGACAGGATCGCACTAAATTTGTGGATATCATGACTACTTGTAAGGCTATCAGATGAAGTGATGTCCAAGACTTCAACTCTTGAAAACGAGATAGCATAGTGACCAGTATGAAATTGCTCTATTATTTTTTTTCTGGAAGCTTGTGACGGCTATTTTAACGTTTGTCAATTAAGTTTGTGAAAGCATCTTCCTAGGTTTTTCTAATCATTAAATGTTTCATCACAAAGTTAACTTTGTCTTTAGATTTGAGACTGATGTACGACGGTAGGACCTCTGCACTTGTTTACGTGAGAGTAAAACGGGGAGCGACTCTTCTTACAGGATTGAGTTACTCGAAAGGCAAAAGAATCTTGCACACATATAAGGTGTTCTACTCACACAATTTCAAGAACTGACCGCCAGAAATGTTTTATTTTTATTTTATTGCTAATTCGAGTAGCTTGAAAAATGGTGATTTTTTCACTTTTAATCTATTATCTACACCATTGATTCCCAAAGTGGTCTATATCGACCCCTAGAGGTCTATGACAACCTACAAGGGGTCTACGTCAGCGAAAAAAAATTTGGGGGTCCATGAAATGAATATGGGGGTCCACGATAGTGGATCTCAACACATACACTGATAGTACCTATTTACTTACATCATACTATCTTATAATATCAAAACATATACATTATTTATAAAAGTACATATGAAGTAAAAAATTTATTATATATGTTTATAAAATTGTGTAAGTTGTAGGATGTTGGTATTCGCCTTGTGGTAGCAATACATTTTGAACTTGTAAAAACCTGAGAGTCGCAGTCTCAGAGCTTCGCTACCTTGCACTGACTTGTTCAATTCGTCACTCTATAAATACGAAAGCGGGACAAATACGTTTATTCGTTTCCTGAATCTTGAAAAGGAAAGTGCTAAGAAAATATTTTAAAAAATATAAACAGATAGTATTTCACACAAATTATAGTGAGTCAGTGTTATTTTGTTTGAGAGTGCTGGATAAAAGTAAGTACATTATTTTTTATTAAATTTTAGTTTTGTACTCGTAGTTAGCAAAGATAGATAAATTACGCCAATCATGACTTTAGTTATTAGTAGTTAAATATTTAATCATGCAAAATTTTACGAGTACTCCTCAATAGTTTCTTTTTGAAAGTTTTAGCAATCGGTAATATAATTACAGTGCAATCTCCGTAATTCGAGCTAATTGTTGCAAGAAGATGTTCGAATTATGGAATTTTTTCGTAAAAATCAAAAAATATTTTTAATATACAGCTGCTGGATTTTCTGTCTTATTTAAATAATTTAATTTTGCCCACAGATGACTGATGCCATGTCCGCATCTAAAATGAAATCTAGACAGTACAGTGTTGATTATTTGAAATTTGGCTTCATTCCATGATTGGCGGACAAACAATCGCCTATGTGCCTTTTATGCAACAAAGTTTTGGGCAATGACGCTATGAAACCATCTAAACTGCAAGATCAAACAGAGAAAGATTTGAAATACTTTCAAACACTCAAAGATAAATTTCAGAAGAGACCTACAGTGGACAGAATGTTCGCTTCGACGTCACAAAGAAATGATGATGATTTGCGGGCGTCTTACAATATCTCGTTACTTATAGCAAAATCCGGAAAACCGCATACTATCGGAGACAAGTTAATTTTGCTAGCCGTTGAAGAGGTTTTAAAAACTGTTTTACACAAACCTGCATCTGATATCATTAAAAGAATTCCCTTAAGCAGCAATACTGTTGAAAGACGTATTGATATTGAAAGCTTCTTATGTAATTATTTGCAAACGACCCATTTCTCTATACAACTGGACGAGTCAACTTTACCTGATAATGCAGCATTGTTATTGCCATATGTTCGTTTTATTATGAATCAAGAAATCTACGAAGAACTGCTCTTCGCAAGAACTTTGATAACCGACACTAAAGGTGAATCAATATTTCATGTTTTGAGGGATTACTTCATTGAAAAAGCAATTCCTTTATCAAATATAATATCAGTAGCTACAGATGGAGCACCTGCCATGGTTGGACGTTATCGTGGATTTATAAGTTATTTAAAACAAAATGTGTCAGGGCTGTGAGCAATACATTGCGTCATCCATCGACAACATTTAGTTGCTAAAAATTTGAGTGTTAGATTGCATGAATCACTTCATTTAGTCATTGATGCAGTAAACCGAATCCGAAGCAACGCGTTGAATACCCGGTTATTTGCGCAGTGAAGAAAATGAACACTTTCATCAATTACTCCTTGACACTGAAGTACGCTGGCTGTCGAAAGGCTTATGTTTGACAAGATTTTTTGCACTTTTTGAGACTTTAAGAATTTTTGGATACTAAAGATAAAATTTTAAAAGAAAATTTAATGAAGAGGAAAACAGACATCGCCTATTTAACAGATTTGTTTACAAAATGTAATATGGTTAATTTGCAATTACAAGGCGACAGTTTAAATTTGATTAAAACAAAGTCCATCTTATCAGCGTTTCTTGCCAGAGTTAAACTAATAAAGCAAAATATTAGACGGGGAGAATTTTCTCAGTTCCCCAATTTGTCACAGACAAGCTGCCAGGAAGACGACGTTTCAACTTACGTTCATCATTTAAATGCCCTCTATTCAGATTTTGAATCTAGGTTTGAGGATATTTTGACTATGGTAATACCACCGTGGATAATTAATCCATATGGTGACATAGAAGAAACGAATGTCATAATACAAGAGGAACTGACTGAACTAAGTACAAACAAAGAACTTAAGGTTCAGTTTAAAAACGGATATCAGCAATTCTGGCTGCAAAACAACATACCCGTTACTTATCCCGTATTATGGAATATAGCGAGGAAATTTTTAATTTCCTTTCCATCGTCATACCTAGTGGAAAGGGGGTTCAGCGATGTTACCACTCTCCTAACGAAAAAAAGAAACAGACTGGACATCATTAGCCGAGGATATTTAATATTAACCCTCACAAAATTGACGCCAAATGTTGATAATTTATTATTAAAGCATCAGGTTCATCCTTCTCACAGAAAATATTGACTTATTGCTTATGTTATTTTATTTATAGTTTATTTTATGTTTATTGGTGTCTGACCAATAAATGCCCGCATTGGGAACAAGTGCCCGCATTGATTTTTATAGAAAATATTTTTTTTAAATTATTCTAAAAATTCAAGGATAGGTACACACTAAACTTCGTTAATTTTTTGCCTATTTTTAGATAACTTAAACGTACAAGAAGCGGAATTTAATCAAACTAACAGTGAAATTATTGTAGAACATACGTTTATGTTATAATTAATAAACGAACTCGCTTATTGTACTATTTTATTATTTTTCACTTTTTTCTTTATTTTATCCCCCTTATTTTTTTCAATGCGGGCACTTATTGGTCAGACACCTGTTTATTTAATGTTACGTATATTTTACATAACAGATACAAAATTTTATTTTAAGTAGTTTTAATTTAAATTCAATTAATAAATGTATAAATTAACATGTGTTTTTACTTCAAGTTTTTAACACTAAACTTCACTACAGTTAGAAATTTACAGGAAATCAATATCAGGTAACTAGGGGGTCTACCCAACACGGAAAAACATGGCAAGGGGTCTACGACACAAAAAAGTTTGGGAAACTCTGCTCTAGACCATCTTTTACGAAACACACAGATTTTAAATTCAAATTAGGTGATATTGTTGAATGGTTCAAATATGGTTTAAATCACGAAAGTTTTCTTCATTTAACAGACGTTGCATCACCAACTGTTTTAAAGATTTATTGCTATTCAATTCTTATCTGGAACACTTTAGATATTTTTTCTACTCTTTGATCAAGAATTTAAAAAGAAGTCAAGTAATGCTCATTGTTGGTCCATAGGCAGTCGGTAGAAATAACTAAAGGTGACTTAGCTGATAGGTCGTCTCCTCACCTCTGAATAATTGGTTTCAAAGTTCAATTGCACCCACCCAAGGGTGGCCTAGATCACTTGCTCAATTTCCCTCGCTATTGGTTGAATCTAGTCATCCGTTCTCGAAGTGTTTCGAAAAAGATGGTCGCGACATTTATGTCAAAAGCGGGTCATATTGCAACAATTCCTCTTAATGAGCAAAGAACTGTTACTGCGGATTAGTATACCACCATTTATTTGCCAAAAGTCATCGCCGAGATTCGAAAAATCAACCTCGAAAGAAGAATCATCCTCCACCAAGACAATGCAAGCTCGCACACAGCCCAAAAACAAGGCAGTATTTAACGGAAGAAAACGTGGAATTATTGGACCATCCTCCATATAGTCCCGATCTAAGTCCTAACGCCTTCTTTACTCTCCCGAAAATTAATAACACACTGCGTGGTCAAAGGTTCCAGTCACCAGAAGAAGCAGTTGACGCATTCAAAAATGCCGTTTTGGATCTGCCAGCAAACGAGTGGAATAAGAGCTTCGAAAATTGGTTCGAGCGCATGCAGATGTGTATTAATCTTCGTCAAGAATACTTCGAAGAACAATAAAGTCATCTAAAACTACCTACCGTGTTGTTTTATTTCCATATGCAAAACTTAAAAGAGATCCCTATACTATAACTATCTAAAAGTGTAATGACTCATCGATGTTCACGTGAACATCACTTAACTACCAGTAGTCGGCTGTTCATAGGCGGGGTATGAATGTTTAACATGGGTGAACTAGATTTGTCACATGCTTAATAAAGAGTGGTTTGAAACATATTGTAAGTAAAAAATTTGGGAATTACCTTTATTCATCGTCGCTTCCACTTACATCTGACAGTTATAAACTGTCGCTATCGCTTTCCTCGTTGAAATTGACTATAACTGGCTCTATGATGGTGTCGATGTGGTGGTCAAGCTGCCACATTTTTGTTTCTTCCTTCACAACATGACGGATAGCATTCTGCCAAGCTTCGGGCGTTACTAGCTGTATGGAAGTCTCAAGTAAAACCTTAACGTCTGGTAATTTGAAGGTTGTGTTATGGCGCGCAATATAACCCTTCACTTGAGCCCAGATGAGCTCTATTGGGTTCAGTTCACAGTGGTAGGGCGGTAACCGCAGCACAGTGACACCACATTGACGGGCCATCTCATCAGTTACGTAACTAATGTTCGCAGGTTTGTGCTGTTTAATTTTTTCATACATTTCCGCTTTCACACATGAATCGTCAAACGGGATTCCTTTTTCGCGCAACCATTGCTGCATGTCACTTTTCCGAGATCCCATAGTCGGTACACGTTCGGCTCGACGACTATGGTAGGAAGCATTATCCATGACGATCACAGAGTTGGGCTCAACTCGCTGAAGCACCCTTTGAAACCAGCTCTCGAAGCAGCTGGCATTCATTTCGTCATGGTAATCACCTCCTTTCTTAGAGACGAAAATCAAGTCACACTCTTCTAAAAAGCCACTATCGCTACCAATATGAGTTACGATCAATCTTTGACCTTTCCCTGGCGGTCCACGAAGACCTGTTGACAAACCTTCAATGCTTGCTTGTCGGTTACTCACTACGTTTTTGTCTATCCAGGTTTTTTTAACTGTGTGACCTGCATTTACCCATGTCTCGTCCAAATAATAGATTTTTCTGCTTTGTGGCCTATATTCAATCATTTCGCGTAGGTATTTTCGACGCCAGGCGACTATTTCAGGTCTCTCTATCAATACTTACTTCCGATTACGCGTTTCGTAACGAAAATTAATTTCGTGCAGGGATTTCCTCATTACCTCGACGCTCATTTGGGGTATAATTTCATTTTCCTTGATCGCTGCATGTACAGCCTTGAGGGTTGGTATCTCATTCCTAAAGAAGAATGAATGTACGGTTCGCCTTAACGCCATTTTGCTATCGTCATCCAATTTAACGGCCTTTCGTCCCTTCAAATTAAACTTTGGATCAGTAGTAGCTCCAGTTTTCTTCTTTTCATGCACCACCCTGCTAATGGTCCACTCTGGAACGCCTGTCATACTTTCACAACGCGCGAGTGCATCTCCCTGCGACATAGTTCTGTTCAGATAATTGAACACGTTGAGCACGATTTCTTTCGCGTCCCTCTTCAGTGCTTTACGAAGCCGTCTACTTGTTCCCTGGCTTTCAGTACTTCCATTCGTGCCATTTGTACTCTCCATGGTTAAGTATAACCAAAACAGTAACCACAGAAACCACAAGAATAACAATCACACAACAATTCTTATAAAAACACGCAATATGCGATCGCTCAATGAAACACGTTCCAATGCGTTGCCGACGAGGCGCGTTTTTGATTTCATTGGGTCTACCGGCGGAGAACAATCAGCCATTATTTCCATCTCTGTCTGTGCTGTTGACCACCGCAAAGCCACAGAAACGACATATGTCGTACGCTATACGGCTGTACTGGAAGGAAGTCGTGGAAGGAAGCCGGGATCGAGCTCTGGTCACGTGTTGATCACGCGTATGAGTCATTACAGTTTTAAATAGTTGTAGTATAGTATCAACCAGAGCATCAACGTCTACTCTACCGTGGTGAGAAATAAATTGATTTGTGCAAGTAAAACAGGAACGAACAAGTCAAATCGGACCGCCAATCGGACTGCCATGGCGTGCTAGGCATATGTTTCCCGCCACGCCAGGGCGGTCTCTGGGGACCGCTAAACATTTTTTTGAGAAAACAGCTAAAGAGATCATAAATAAATAAATCAAACGCATTTCTGCAGACTGTAAGTCATAAGCAGAACAAATGATACAAAAGTGGACATTTTTCTAACATTTTCCTTGCCGTTTAAAATGTTAAGTGATTTGGATGAAACTCTCAACGGTAAGCATAAAGGGTGCTTAATTTTTACTGCCTATATCCAACTGAATAATCCCAGAAGTGGCTCTATCAAATTTTAACCGAGTTTCCCATAGGCCAAACGCCGGACGCTTTTATATTTGTTAGGTCTTAAATTCCGGCCTCTTAGGGAAGTTGAATCTCCCAACTCCCTAACTTATTTATCATTTTACTCACCCCAGAAAGACAGTTTTGCAGGTATATAGGCCTTGAAAACCAGATTAGCTGAGATCAATCGCTTATCCTCTATGATCCTTCCATAGTTAAAGACGTTAGCACACAGACACATAATAGTGCAATAAATAAAATACTTGTTTCTAATCATTTTAATATCATGATAGTAGAAACTTGAAATTTCAGGTACGTTGTATTCGTCGATTTTCCAAAACTTTTCCTCGATATCCGTCAGCATTTGCAATATTCTTGGCCGTTGCACATAGAAGCACACTAAGTACACCACAGCCTGTAATTGCATTATAGATATAAATTACTGATTTGTATGTTCATAGATTACATAATACAAGTGTGAAATTTATATAGCAGATTCAAGAAATGCGTGAAGTAGTCACCGAGAAAAGGTTAGGTTTTAAAATTTGCTCATATCAGACCTGTATGGATATCTAGTAGATATGAAACAGAAAACACAATTTTTTTCATTGCACGTTTATTTACTAACTTACAGGCTTAGAAAGGATAGCCCTACTTAAAATTGGGATTGTTGCAAAAGCATTTTTCGAATTTAAAGGGAATACATTGGGATATTGAACAATGCGTTTTGTATAGAAAATTTTCTGTACATTTTGATAAAAAATCAAATTTGAAATTAAAAAAAATGAAGCTGCTGAACAGGGACTAAACATTTCATATCAAAATTTGGGTACTTTCGGTTCGTATTTTTGATCTCTTTAGTTCAAAATATAGCATAGAGAGTGTTTAAAACACGCTTGAAGTTTTATAATGGTATAAGCATTAATTAAGGAGACGGGTATTTTTATGTACATACATGTCGCACTTAGTATGACGTGATATGCTTGTTTATACATGAATGACTATTTCCCTTGTCTTAATTTCTACCTATCACAGACCCGCAATTTTGAATTACAAACGGTTACTAGATGGAAAAATTGTATGGGAGAACCTATCAGCACTGTTTTCGAGTTTACCTGCGGCAAAACTTGACAGCTGTTGTCACCAAAAATTACGTACACATGTACAATAGGTAGTATGTTTTGTAAGCTATGTGTATGCAGAATAATCAGCTACTCCTGAAATAGTCTTGTTAAATACCATTCGCGCATCTAATTTTTTCCTGTGAAAAGGTCGAAAAAACACAATGCAAGGTAATATTTTTTTAGCAAGAAACGTTCTTGCAGATGTAACTAGCACTCATGCTTCTTGTTAAGATATTACTTAGCAACCTGTTTTTGGATTTTTTTCGAAAAAATTAGATGCGCTTATGATATTACTTATGAAAATATCTCTCCTTAACGAATACGCATTCTATTCTAAAGCTTCTCATGCATTTTAAACAACTTTTAGGCTATGTTTTGGAGACAAAAAATGGGGTGAGTTACCTAAATTTTGGATTGAAATGTATATTTCCGTTTTAAGACAATATTTTCTTAAAATTCAATATTTAAAAAATCCTGTATTAAACTATAACTTACTGTCGAAATATATACTGTCATAATATATCTCCTTAATTAACGCGCACCCCATTTTGAATACCTACAGTTTAGGCTATATTTAGGAGTAAAAAATCGCAAATGAACGCTACCGGAATTTCCAAAATTTTGGTTTGAAATGTTCCGATCTAGCACCTTAATTTTTTTAATTTTCAATAATGATTTTTTTATCAAAAAGTACTGAAAATCTCCTATACGAAACGCCCTTGTTAATATCCCAATGTAATACTTTTAAATTCGAAAAATTGTTCGAAGAATTTCCAAGTAGGACTATTTTTTCGAGGCCCGTAACTTTGCAAGGAAACTTGCCACGAAAAACATCTAATTTCCTCTTCCATGCATACTAGACGTACAAACAGACCCATATGGGTGAATTTTAAAACCTCACTTTGTTCGGTGTCAGCTTCTCTTGGAATGCCCCACCGCTAGACGAGAAGACGGATACATACGAGGGTGGTCCCAGAAGTACCCGACCCATCGGATAAAACACAAAATTTTTGTAAAAAAATGTATTTATTTTTCAACATAATCTCCTTTGAGCTCTATACACTTTTCTCAGCGATTTTCAAAAGTTCGATACCATTTTTATAATAAGAACTGTCTTGCACCTCAAAATAGCCATTAACTGCCGACATCACTTCTTCATCGTTGGAAAATCTTTGACCACTGAGGCTTTTTTTCAAGTTTCGAAACAGAAAATAATCCGAGGGGGCTAAATCTGGTATGAGGTAGCAATTCAAACCTTAGTGATGAAACAACACTTCCTTCTTAACGAAATGCGGCCGTCTTTGATTGATTTCATCGCTCAAACAGTGCAATAAGTTCGCATAATACTCGCCGTTAATAGTTTTACCTTTTTCAAGATAGTCAATGAAAATTATCCCACGCGCATCCCAAAAAACTGACGCCATAACCTCGCCTGCAGATGAAACGGTCTACGCCTTCTTTGGAGCCGGTTGTCAGTTTTGAGTCCATTGTTTTGATTGTCCTTTTGTCTCAGGTGTGAAGTGACGGACCCATGTTTCATCCATGGTTATGAAACGACGCAAAAATTCTGCTTTGTTGCTGTGAAACTTCGCTAAGCACACAAATGAAACATCTTCACGACACTGTTTTTGCTCGATTGTGAGCAATCGCAGCACCCATCCTGCACACAGCTTTCTCATGTCCAAATTTTCAGATAATATGCGATAAACCACAATTTCTGAAATGCCTACTATGTCTGCTAGCTCGCGCACTTTCAGTCGACGATCATTCAGTACTGCTTTGTGAATTTTCTTCACCATTTCTGGAGTCGTCACCTCATGTGGTCGACCACTGCGATGCTCGTCTTGGCAGCTCATATCGCCTCGTTTAAACTCTGCTACCCAATATTTTACTGTTGTAAACGAAGGAGTAGACTCACCCAGAATAGAATCCAGTTCAGCTTTTATATTGGTTGGGCTGAGGCCTTTGAAATAAAAGTATTGGACCACGTAACGATGACCAATTTTCTACATTTCCACAAATTCACTGAAAACGTTCAGTATTGACGACTGCCAAACAAATACTGAACAACGAGGCGTCTTCAAACTTCACACATATGCTTTATAGGTTGCATACTTTCTAATACAATGACATTTTTCAAACAACTATCGCCAGGTCAGGCCGGGTACTTCTGGGACCACCCTCGTAAGTACATAAGCTTTCGTCTTGGACAATTCTGGACATTTGCTTTTAAAATATTATGTAGTCGCGGTGATTTTGGAAGACTCAATAATTTTCAGTATAAAAAAAGCAACTGGATGACCTACATAAAACGCTGAAGATGTAAAAATAACAACCTTTTATTGAATGTTACAACCAAATTGGTTCACAGCCTGTTATATTGAGGAATTGAAAAGATAATCACTATTCAATATCCACTTGGCATTTATCGTATTCAGCTTCATTTGCCATTGTAATTAAAATGTTTCAATAAATTTGTTTTGTCAAAGCATTTTGCAAAAAGTTTTTAAGAACTACTTTCTGGAAAGAACATACCTCAACAGGTTGCTGAAGAAAATCATATCTTCAACCTGTTGACGCTTATATTAAATAATATATCTGCCTTGTCAAAAATCAGGCAATAGATCCAAATTCCAAGCATTTGTTATTCCAATATTTGATCCCAATGATAGTCTCCATAAACTGAAATGGTAGTGAACCAATTTTAAATTGCACTCACTGGTTGCTTTATTGAAATTTCTTATACTTACGTGCATTTGCAAAAGGATATTCGTAAATATGTCTATTCCTTCCGGAAGTGTCATGTCATCTACAGTGAAGAACAACATCACCACCAAATATATCAGTATCAAAAATTGAGTCAGAAAGAATAAGAACAATGCATCTTGGATCCTGCTACCAATCTTTCTAGGGTTAACTCCCAGGATGTTCATCATGGCCAAACAATGATCTATCGTGATATACTTCATAGCAGCAACACTAAAATCTTCAGTGCTAGTGATTTATAGGTATGCAAACCACAATAAAAATTAAGTCAAAGGTATACTACATTAGTAACTAACTTTTAAACATTGAGCAATATATCAGATATTATTTTTTTGATGGTACGAGGTATTTTTATATGTTTTTCAGGATCTGGTAACGAACAAATTTTCAATAAAAAAGTCAACTGATTTAATAAGCTTGCACCAACAATTCCAGGGATCATTCCCTTGACTGTTCTAAGAATTTTTCCCTTTTATGATTTGTCAAAAACGGTAAGAATAAAAGAATGGCAAATTATAGTGAATTTATCATAAGTAATATCATAAGCGCATCTCATTTTTCCGAAAAAAATCGGAAAAACACGATGCCAAGTAAGATTTTAACAAGAAGCATGAGTGCTGGTAGAAACACCTGTGCGAATGTTTTTGTTAAAAAATATTACTTTGCATTGTGTTTTTTCGATTTTTTTCACAGGAAAAAAAATGTCCGAATGGTATTTGACAGGACCATTTCATGAGTAACAGATTGTTCTGCATACCCATAGCTTACAAAAACTGCTGACTGGTGCTGTCATATAATTTTTCCATCTATAAGCTATTTGTATTTCAAAATTGCGCATTTGTGATTGGTAGAAATTAAGACGAGCGAAATATATCTATCTAAATTTTGTCGATATGCAATGCATGTGTAGAATAACCTATTAGACGCATCTTTATCCTTCAAGAAAGAATAGTCAGACTCTTATTCACATTGCATCCTCCAGAGTTGTGTGGAAGAACATTTAGAGATGAAAAAATACTAACTTTAACATCATCACTCATCCGAAAGACGTGCTTTCATGTAAAATCATATCCTTCCAAATTGACTTACCTAAAAGAGTCTCAGAGATACAATCTAAGGAATAATAACAACGTTACATTGAACAACTATAGCCTCAGCATATACTGTCTATGTGGATATATCTTCAATAATTTACCCTCCGAGCTAAAAGCCATCAACGACTTAAAAGTCTTCAAAAAGCATCTTTTAACGTACTTGTACTCTAAGTGTTTTTACTCGCTACAAGAGTTTTATAACTTTTAATAAACGCATATTTGCCTGTTTTATTGATTATTTTACTTATTATATATTTATGCCGCATACTTTTTATACGTATTCTTCTATTTAA